CTCTGAACCAATAAGGGATTGGCAATTAAACACCACCACAACAAGAAAGAAACATTCCGCATAGTTTATTTTAGATGTGGGAACAGTGGACAAGAGAGATCCCGTCATACATGTTCCTATAAAGAAGTTACTCCAACACTGAGAAAAGCAGGCCTCATAATACCTATCCAGGCAGATTTTATGTTATCTAAGACTCCATTATGCACCCTCCCCCCTCTTTTGACAATTGAGTTGTTATTTCAGTTACTCTGTACATGAGGGCAGAGGGTGGTTAGAGTGAATATCTTTGTCTTTTGATTTCTTGGTTACCAAACTATGAGGATTTATTCAAACCTTTGGGTAACAGTATATGTCCAAAGAGAACAGCATGAGTAAAGCAGCACGAATTAGCTGGAAAGGAACAGGAAACAAGGTAATAATGAGGTAAAGAACATATGATGCCGGTCGTGTAAGGCCCCACTCTCAGCTGATACTGAATGCATGTATACGTGCCACGTCAATTCAGAAGGCCAGGGATAAATGTATCCTAAGGAGTCAAAAGCACCAAAATACTTCTGTAAACATTCAAGTGTTTAGAATCAATTGCAATCTTGCTATTGCAATTATAGCCCTTCAGCGGAATCCAGGCAGTCTCCACTCTCACAGCTCGGAATGCGGTAGGTACTTTAGTTTCTAAATTTGTATCCCATCGTTGTGCAATGAGATGTACATCATATGTGGGGCTGGAGGACCAGGGTGCAAGTCCCAATTCTCTTAACCTACTAATGCATGAATGAACTGGGGCAAGTTAACCTCTCTAAAATAAATTACTGCATCGAAATAATGGGATAATAATACTACCTTTCTTCTTAGACTTACTGTAAGGATGACTTAATCTAAATTCCTTGGCGTATCTTTCACATGAAAAACACTGTTTGCCAGAGATCTCCTTTGAAAAAGGTGGATCCATTTCATGTTCTTGCTCCCACTTGGCAATTTGCCAAGCAACAGCACGGAAAATTCCTACCAAATGCGAATGTTTAAATCTGTAACTTTTTAAAATTGAAAACACAAGGGCCGTTAATGAGGCTGAAGACATAATAAACAGAAGTTTCATTTTTGTCGCACTCATTATGCCTTCTGTTAATTGCCAATTCATAAAAACCAGCCTAATACCCTGTTGAAAAAGTACAGTTTATAACTTACAAAACGGGACACCCACCCTGGAAGAGTCTTAGTAGCCCCTAGGAGAGAGAAGGTCAGACACTCCACCCATACACATTCACACACATTTAAGTCACTGAATATTACTAATGAAAATGTAATGTAATCAAAATGTAATGTTTCATTTTTCCATTGCTCTCAGCCTTCACAGAAATATACTTTGGTTCATGAAACAGTTAAAAAACTCACTGGTGTATCTCTTGAATTTCTATTCCAACTATTACAATTCTACATTCTGGGAAATATATGCATAAAAAACATAGATTCTGTAGAACAATAAAACAATTCATTATTATTTTTCTCTTTCAACCTATTATATAGTTTATTTATTCATTAACAAAATAAAGCAAAGCTTTAAAGAAAAAGAAAAATAAAATATTTGAAGGTAATATTTTGTAGCACATACATTATAGAATTCAGAATAATTTTATTGCTTTACTCTTCAATGTACATATGACCTTATTATTTTATATTTAAAATATATATGTGCATGTGTCCCTGCTATTGACCAAGAGAAAACCAAATCCAAAAGCAAAATCAGCTTTGAATTTTGCAGCATTATAAAGTTCGCCTTACATGTAATCCTTTCTAAAGGCAGAGGATTTAGCTACCTTAGTTAGGCTCTGGGGACTTGTCTAATCTACATTTAGTTTCCCAAGGATAACATGCTGAGGCATCTCGTCAATCATGCCCCCAACATGTTTTCTTCATTTTAACATGTCCAACTTATTTGTTGGTTTATCATTAAAAGCCCTTTTATCTCACCTGTTTCAGAAAAAGCTTCTAGAAGAGCTATCAAGGTATATAATGAATTCGTTACTTTCCACGAAGTCACTCTATATCCACCTGACTGACGTTGAAATGACTGACTGCTTCTCTTACTGTTGAAAACAGAAATGCCAAGATATAACGTAAGCTCTACCTATGCCACAGTCTATTGGCACTTGTCACCTCCAGCTTGTTTCTCTCCAGGAAGTTGGCAGAGTATTATCAGAGAAATCTCCTCATATAATTTCACAGAAACTGAGCTTTATCATTAGCCAGGATACATTGAATTTTTAGGAAAAAAATCAATACATAGGCTTAAGGTGTCTCAGTTATTGTGACTGCTACATGCTTTGGATTTTGTGTACTTAAATCAAGATATGACTGTTTATATTGTCTTTTTTGTGGAATTCTTCTTTTACCTTTCAAGTAAAGTTGTAATAAAAATTGTATCTCTTATTGGAGGTAAGTGAACTTTCTAGAACTGAAAAAACATTACATCTAGCTACCTGTAAAATTTAAAGTAGAATTTAGTTCTTTCTTTTCAATAAAATCTTCAATGCATTAAAATTCATAACTGATATTGTGTTATATAATATCAGATATATAGCATGAAAGTGCAATGGTTACAAAGAGCTAACAATTCATTCATCATTGGCCAGTCAGGGGTAATACTTATTAAATAAAAAATAACATAACAATTAATACAAAACCATAAAAACTATCTGACACTTTCACATTCTTTTTTTTTTTTTTTGAGACGGAGTTTAGCTCTTGTTACCCAGGCTGGAGTGCAATGGCACGATCTCGGCTCACCGCAACCTCCGCCTCCTGGGTTCAGGCAATTCTCCTGCCTCAGCCTCCTGAGTAGCTGGGATTACAGGCACGTGCCACCATGCCCAGCTAATTTTTTGTATTTTTAGTAGAGACGGTGTTTCACCATGTTGACCAGGATGGTCTCGATCTCTTGACCTAGTGATCCACCCGCCTCGGCCTCCCAAAGTGCTGGGATTACAGGCTTGAGCCACTGCGCCCAGCCAATATTCTTAAATTACTTGAAATATAGCTTACATTTATTTTCTTACACTGCAGATTTAAGGCATACAAATTTCAGGTGCTTGTAAACATCTCAGATTTAGCAAACTCTATGATTTAGCCAATATAAAAACCTATGTAAATAAATAAGTTATAACATTTGGGTATGTCATATCAAAAAATTAGAGAAGAGAACAAAATTGACGAGAAATCACATCCAAAGTCTAATAGAAAATTTGTCATTTTGAGATTCTCTAAATTAAATATAAATATATGTGATTCCTTAGATTGAAAATAAACTGAATCTGTAATTAAACTAACATAATTTACTCTAGGATACAAAATCATCAATGAAGGCTAGAGTTTGACATAATTATTAATCAGAGTGCCAAATCCAAAGTAAAATAAAGTATTACACAGACATATAGGAAGAAAATTCACAGAAATCGGAGGGAAAAAAGAATCACTTCAATAACCAAATGTGCAGAGACTGACCACCAAACCTCAGTGACAGATTTAATGGACAGTTGAAGTTTTGAGCAAAAATAATATGACCCTAAAAGTGTCTTTGAATCTAAATTGGTTTTGATTAGAAAGACAAAGGGAAGATTTTATGAAAGCTATAAGGAATATGGAACATTTTATCTATTAATTCTCCTGTATTCTTCTAAATTGCACATCTGCACATGTGCACATGTGCACACACACACACACACACACACACACTCACATCCCAGCACGGAGAAATGGTTCAAAATAAAGAAACAAGAGAATAACAAGGTCTGAAGCACAGGCAGCAACTAATTGCCTACCAGACAAAAAAAGTTCAGGTCCAGATGGGTTCACGGCCAAATTGTTCTAGATATACAAAAGGAGCTGGTACCATTCCTTCTGAAACTATTCCAAACAATACAAAAAGAGGGAATCCTCCTTAACTCATTTTATGAGACCAACATCATCCTGATACCAAAACCTGGCAGAGACACAACTAAAAAAGAACATTTCAAGCCAATATTTATGATGAACATTGTTCCAAAAATCTGTAATAAAATACTGGCAAACAGAACACAGCAGGACATCAAAAAACGTATCCATCACGATCAAGTAGGCTTCATCCCGTGGATGCAAGGCTGGTTCAACATGGGCAAATCTAAAAACATAACCTGTCACATAAATAGAAGCAAAGACAAAAACCACATGATTATCTCAAAGATGCAGAGAAGGCCTTCAACAACATTCAACAGACCTTTATGATAAAAACTCTTAATAAACTAGATATCGATGGAACATATCTCAAAATAATAAAAGCTATTCATGACAAACCCACAGCCAATAGCATACCGAATGGGCAAAAATACTGGAAGCATTCCCGTTGAAACCTGGCATTAGACAAGTCTGCCCACTCTCACCATTCCTATTCAACACAGTATTGGAAATTCTAGCCAGAGCAATCAGGCAAGAAAAAGAAATAAGGGTACTCAATTAGAAAAGAAGTCAAATTGTCTCTATTTGCAGATGACATGATTGTATATTTTGGAGACCCCATCAGCTCAGCCCAGAATCTCTTTAATCTGATAAGCAACTTCAGCAAAGTCTCAGGATACAAAGTCAGTGTGCAAAAATCACAAACATTCCTGAACACCAATAACAGACAAACAGAGCAAAATCATGAACAAACTCCCATTCACAATTGCTACAAAGAGAACAAAATACCTAGAAATACAACTAACAAGGGACATGAAGGAACTCTTCAAGGAGAACTATAAACTACTGCTCAAGGAAATAAGAGAGGACACAAACAGATGGAAAAACATTCCATGCTCATGGTTAGGAACAATCAATATTGTGAAAATGGCCATACTGCCAAAAGTAATTTACAGATTCAATGCTATCCCCATCAAGATGCCCTTAACCTTCTTCACAGAACTGGAAAAAACCACCTTAAACTTCATATGAAACCAAAAAGAGCCTGCATAGCCAAGAACAGGGGCTTTTTCTCTCCTTCACTGCAGCAGCTGCCGGCGTCCAGCTGCCTCCGTTCTGCCTGGATCTCTAGCTCCTCATTTCTCCAGTCTCCTCAGACCAAAGCCCTCGGGATATGCAGCAGCCATGCCTGTGGACACGCTGAGCCCTGGAGCCCCGGCCGCCCCTGCCCTACCTTGCCGCCTGCGGACCAAGGTCCCCGGCTACCTGCTACGGAGGCCGGCAGATGGTGGAGTCCGGAAACCCAGTGCTGTGGAGCGCCTGGAGGCCGACAAGGCCAAGTACGTCAAGAGCCTGCATGTGGCCAACACCCGCCAGGAACCTGTGCAGCCCCTGCTGTCCAAACAGCCACTCTTTCGCCCTGAGACTCGCCGCACAGTGCTCACGCCCAGCCGCCGAGCCCTGCCTGGCCCCTGCCGACGGCCCCAGCTGGACCTGGACATCCTCAGCAGCCTCATCAACTTGTGTGATAGTCCCGTGTCTCCTGCTGAGGCCAGCCGCACTCCTGGACGGGCAGAGGGAGCTGGCCAGCCTCCCCCAGCCACCCGCCCACGACCGCCACCCAGTACCTCTGCGGTCCGCCGAGTGGACGTCCGCCCTCTGCCTGCCTCACCTGCCCAGCCCTGCCCGTCATCGGGTCCTGCCGCCGCCTCCAGCCCAGCCCGGCCACCGGGTTTGCAACGCTCTAAGTCGGACTTAAGCGAGCGCTTTTCTAGGGCAGCCGCTGACCTTGAGCGCTTTTTTAACTTCTGCGGCCTGGACCCGGAGGAGGCAAGAGGGTTGGGTGTGGCCCACCTGGCACGGGCCAGCTCGGACATTGTGTCCTTGGCCGGGCCCAGTGCTGGGCCGGGCAGCTCTGAAGGGGGCTGCTCTCATCGCAGCTCGGTTACTGTTGAGGAGCGGCCCGGGTGCGCGTCCCCTACGGCGTGTCGGTGGTGGAGCGCAATGCCCGCGTGATCAAGTGGCTGTATGGGTTAAGGCAGGCACGGGAGAGCCCCGCAGCTGAAGGCTAGGCTGCCGCTGGACCTGGTATTCGCCACAGGACAGATCTTACAGACGCATGTGGCCCCTGGACCTCTCTTGCATCCATTCTCTGGATCTGCATGCCAGAGGCTTCACCATGGTGTGAACTTGGCATGGAGGCAAAGGCTTAGAGGCTGGACCAGCATTCTTGGGCAAGGACTGACCCTGGAGGGTTTTGCTCTTGACTTTGGACAGCCGAGAATCCCTCCTTCCACCCCAATACAAGGTTTTGACATGAATGTATTCCTCCTTAGTTCCTCTTATGGGGCTGCATTTGGGGTGCTTTGCCCTCCCCTCTGAGAGTGAGGACCAAGGAATCTCCTCCATCCTGTCTCCCCAGCGGCTCTGTATCCTTCCTTCCTTCCTTGGCCTCTGTCCTTTGCTGACGTCCTCTTCCTTACCCAGCAGAACTCACCCTGGGGTCGTGGCAGCAGAGAGGGGCCTATCCACTGCTCTTCCTAGTCCTTGGCAGCTGGCCTTGGTGGGTAGACGATGTTGGGGCCCGTTAGAAATCTGCACTGCTTTGACTTACCTTCCCTTGGTTAATAAACACAAATGCTTGTTTCTCAAAAAAAAAAAAAAAAGCAAAAAGAACAAAGCTGAAGGGATCATGCTACCTGACTTCAAACTATACTACAAGGCTACTGTAATCAAAACAGCATGGTACTGGTACCAGAATAGAGGCCTCTGTTCTGTTCTTTCGGTGTATATCTCTGTTACAGAACTAATGCCACACATCTACAACCATCTGATCTTCGAGAAACCGGACAAACACAAGCAATGGGGAAAGGATTCCCTATTTCATAAATGGTGTTGGGAAAACTGGCTAGCCATGTGCAGAAAGTTAAAACTCCACCCATTCCTTACACCTTATACAAAAATCAACTCCAGATGAATTAAATATTTAAACATATTTAAACATAAGACCTAACACCATAAAAACTCTAGAAGAAAACTTAGGCAATACCATTCAGGACATGGGCATAAACAAGGACTTCATGACTAAAATACCAAAAACAATGACAACAAAAGCCAAAATAAACAAATGGGATCTAATTAAATTTAAGAGCTTCTGCACAGCAAAAGAAATGATCATTAGAATGAACTGGCAACCAGCAGAACAGGAAAATGTTGCAAGCTACCCATCTGACAAAGAGCTAATATCCAGAATCTACAAAGAACTAAAACATATTTACAAGAAAAAGACAAACAACCTCATCAAAAAGTGGGTGAAAGATATGAACAGACACTTTTTAAAAGAAGATATTTATGAGGCCAACAAACATATGAAAAAATGCTCATCATCACTGGTCATTACAGAAATCCAAAGCAAAACCGCATTGAGATACCATCTCATTCCAGTTACAATAGCAATCATTAAAAAATCTGGAGACAACAGATGCTGGAGAGGATGTAGAGAAATAGGAACACTTTTACCCTGTTGGTGGGAGTGTAAATTAGTTCGATCATTATGGAAGACAGTGTAATGATTCTTCAAGGATCTAGAAATAGAAATACCATTTGACCCAGCAATCCCATTACTGGGTATATACCCAAAAGATATAAATTGTTCTATTACAAAGACACATGCACACGTATGTTCATTGTGGCACTGTTGACAATAGTAAAGACTTGGAACCAATCCAAATGCCCATCAGCGATAGACTGGATAGGGAAAATGTGGCACATATACACCATGGAATACTATGCAACCATAAAAAAGGATGAGTTAATGTCCCTTACAGAGACATGGATGAATCTGGAAACCATCATTCTCAGCAAACTGACACAAGAATAGATAACCAAACACAGCATGTTCTCACTCATAAGTGGGTGTTGAACAACGAGAACACATGGACACAGGGAGGGGTACATTACACACTGAGGTCTGTTGGGGGAGTTGGGGAGGGATAGCAGGGGGTGGGGAGATTAGGGAGGGATAACATTAGGAGAAGTATCTAATGTAGGTGACAGGGGGATGGAGGCAGCAAACCACATGGCACGTGTATACCTATGTAACAATCCTCCGAGATCGGCACCTGTACCCCAAAACGTAAAGTAAAATTAAAAAAATAATAATTTCAAAAATAAATAAAATGCTTCCAATGAAGCAAAAACAAAAAAAAAATAGTAAATAAGAAGCCACTGGTAGGATAAGATCTGTGCTTACTTATTTTACATTGTAAAGTAGAAATGTGATTTACATCTTCTATGTAGTTTAAAAATCATTACTATTTTAATCATTTTACTACAATATCTTCTAGATTATCTTTATTTCTTAAAAAATAACTTATTTTATTAATTCCCCAGATAAATACCTGAGCTCAAAATTCCCCAGAAAAAATGTCACAAACCAGGACGCATCTGTACCGTCATTGTTCTCAGGATTCCCAGTGTAACCTGCTGGATGGGAGATAACCTAGTAAATGTTATCATGCAATTCTCAGAATCACTTTTCCAAATACGAGGAGTTGAGTAGGGAAAAATACAAAATGAGCAAATGTAGTGAATCCATTTCCCCGGTATAGGGAAAAAGGATAAAAATGTCCTGCTATATGGAAAAGAGTTCCCCAGGGACAAGGTACACTCCTTCAAACTATCATAGAAGGACCAAAAGAAACCCTTTAGGCCTTTAGCATCCTAACTTTATCTGCTGTGAAGAGTCTAAATATGAATTTGGAAGCAATTCTAGTAATTTCAGTTTCTTCATTGATGACCTTCTCATTTACCTTCTTCTGTAACTTAGTAGGAGAATCTGAGGCCATAGGTATAAATTCAAATTCTGGCCATATACTCAGGACAATCTAGAACAAGTGCCAGCAAACTGCTTTGGAATTCATTAATTTTATGAGTGAATACCCTTCTTGTCTGGCAAACTTTTCACAAGAAAAAACATTTTAGAAACTGTTTTGTGGTTGTTTTGTTTTCAAAATCTGAATCATCATATTCAATACACACTTCACATAGTAAAGAAAACTATCCATTTTATATAAATGCAATTTAATTTTTCAGTCCTATTAAAAGATATAATACAAACACGGGACAAAGTTAAATGAGACTTGACCCTGAAGACACATCAAGCTTAACTCAGGAAGGGCAAATATTGTTGTGGAAATAATCAAGAAGTTCTAGGAAAAAAATAATAGATTGCTCTTTAGAGTCATATTGTTAAAATAACAAATGACTACATTTTAAAAGGAACCATGGATCCAGACATGTTACATTAGAATTGTAAGCCCAAAAGAATCTGAGACAGGTCTCAATCAATTTAGAAATTTATTTTGCGAAGGTTAAGGACATGCCCAGAAGGGAAAAAAGTAAAAATCAGAGAAGCAGTCTGAGGTCTTCGCCTTTCTCTAAAGATGAATTTGAGGGCTTCAATATTTAAGAGGAAAATGGGCTGGTGGGGAAAGAGTGGGGTATTGTAATCCACAAGTTGCAAGATCAAAGAAGCAAATAGGCAAATAGTCAGCTTAGGCTCCCTCAGTGAATCAGCACTTTACATAAGATAAGATGAACAGAGAGTAGCTGCCTTTGGGGATACTTAACCCTTTATCTCTAGGTATCTGCTTAGGAACAAAAAGAAAGTTGCAGCAAAACTCAGTTTTCACCTTATTTTTTTTCTTTTTGGAATAGTGAATTGGGATCCTTAATTTTTAGTTTCCTCTCTCAGGATAATATTACAAAATGAACAAACAACCAAAAAAAATTATGTGGTTTCTTTAGGTTAAAGGAAAGTAGATTTTTTCATGCTTTGGGTTATTATATCTAAATAAAAAACTAAAAATAATGCTAAATATCTTATCTTTAATAAATTGAAAACCTAAAGACAGTTTGCAATTAAATTGTAACTCTGCTCATAAATGCATTTTGACTCATTCAAGCTTTTTTGTTTATTTTGTTAGGATGTTCTTTCTCACCCATTTAGAAATCACTATATGTGTTTATAGTGTTTGAACAAGTATAGTGGGTCTTCTGAAAGTATATTGTATATTTTTCCTACAAATATATCCAGTTTAAATTATATATATTTCAAATTCAGGTAGCCACAAGATATTTGTGTTAAATTCCATATGATGAATTGTTAACTATTAATCTTTGTATTTTAAAAAAATATCTTGAACATTTATTCCTGAATATATTACCTTTTTATTTTTCTTTTTTTTTAATTGTACTTTAGGTTCTGGGGTACATGTGCAGAACATGCAGGATTGTTGCATAGGCACATACATGGCAAGGTGGTTTGCTGCCTCCATCCTCCCGTCACCTAAATCTGGCATTTCTCCCCATGTTATCCCTCCCCAGCCTTTAACAAATAGTGGCAGGTCTATTTGATTTATTCTCAAAGTATTCACTCTTTTAGGTTTATTTAATCACAGGTGACAAATCCAGGTAAAAAGACCTTTTCTGATTCAAATCTTAGCTAGTGTCAGATGCCAGGTTTTTAATTTGATTCCCAATTACGCCGTCGAATCACTCTGTAGTCCCTTGCTTTGGATTCCCGTGTCTGGGAAATTGAATAGTCTCATGAAAGTTATAGAAATCTTCAACTTCCCAAGCAGGAAAAGAGGCACATGAATAAGAACCTTTCCATTCTCTGATTGTCCCTCACGCAAGAAGCGTGTTTCATCCCCTGAAGCACACAAGCATTGAAGCTTTTACACTGCATTGCTTAGAGCATGCTCAACAGGACATCAGGGTTGCAGGGGAGGGTGGAAAAGTTACCAACATGACAGAAGGGATAAGAGTGTCATGGTTGGTTTAAAAAATCGTAATTCTTGCCTGGGGCCATGCACTGAGCAAAGGCAAAGGGTAGCAGAGAGGGAAGGAGAAATAACGTAGAGAAACCACAATCATCTTCTATACACACTTATTCTCCTTAAGACCCCAACACAGCCTATGAATTCCATTTGCACAAATCTTGTTAAACTAATGAAGAACTTAAGATCAATTTATTGGTGTATCTGAATCTTTATCAATCAAACATTAAAATTACATGCAAAATGGCTTAAATTTATTATTTGAATCACGTGTAAAATGTTAGTAGCCCTGTGTCATTAAATATAATTCACATTAAGTTATGGACATTCAAACTAGCGAAAAATACATTGAATAAAAGCAGTTTCTGTATTTGAGGTATAGATCCACGATTTCTGGTATTTGTATTTGCAAGCCTTTGCCATGTGCAACATTTTCTGTATATTGTGTAGCGAATTTGATTAATGAACTCTATAGTTTTCTCCAATTAAACTGAAATACATATGGCTAACCCTGATACTGTAGTCTAATTTAATGCTAATTAGATTTACCTGTCTACTAAGTAAGGCACCCAAAAATATCCTTTTTTATCTCCCTCTTAAGGAAAAAAAAAGTTTATATAAAAATGCCAACATTTTAGAAGCAGTGAAAAACCTGAAAATGTTTGTAGGATTTTCCAACAAATGACTCTTCCTTTAAGTGATTCAGATACGCATTAAAAAGAAAATGATTATTAGCATCATAAATTTATATGGTGTATTTCTAAGTAAGCATTAAATTATATCAGCTCAAGAAGAATTTTAGGTTTCATATAATATGTGGATTATAGAGGCAATACA